TGCAGCCACAGAACCAAATATTCATTGACCACCCAGAAAAAGGAAAATAAAAAGATTGTACATGTATAATTTCTTTTTCATTGTTTTTTGTAGATATTTACAAGTCTTTCCTGGCTGAGGTGCAGCCACAGAACCGAATATTCTCTCTTAATGTGGAAAGACGCAATCTACTCAGATGTCAATTTCTTTATAGCAAGTTGAAGGGGTTCAGTGAAGTGCCCAGCAAAGAAGCACACATGCTGTTTTTTCTCCACAAAGAATGTAAGTATAACGGAATGATCTTATAAAGAAATTTATGAAAACCAGCTGTTCTTTGTGGAATTCGATCCATATTATTTCACTGTTTATGCTCAATAAAACGCCAAATTTTCAACTCCATATCATGTCTGATATTGGTCCCATGTAATTTATACAATGCATGTGAAATACAATGTTTTTTTTCACAAAATTTGTTCGTACACAGCGAGCCACTATTTTTATTAATTCTCACAATGAAATCAGTTTCTTGTTAGATACAATGGATATTCCTAAATTTCAAAATGAAATTTGAATTCATAAATCTAAGAACACTTTCACAACTTGTTTTCTTCCAGCTATTGGACTGTATAAAATATCCTTGGCTAGAATGGGACATAAAGGTGTGGTATGTACCCTTATTTTTTTCTCTGCAATCTGCAGAACCACAGTTTTCTGGCAGCACCCTATTCAAGTCCAAATTTGAAAATAATTATTACCGGTAAAATGGTACATCTCAACAAACATTTTCTTGGCCTCATTGAATTTTTACCCCTGATATAATAAGAACTGTCAATGTTGGAAGTATACATGTTAACGTGTTTTTCGTCTCTCTGGGTTGCTGAAGAGTGACCTCTAGTGCTAAGTTTGGCTAATGCTTTAAATGATAATTGAAACAAAATAATCTTCATACTGGTGACATATGGTAACAGACAACTTGCTACACTACTACTGTTCCGGCCCAGTCCAATAAAATGTCTAACGGTTTGAAAGTTATTTGTGTTTGTGATCTGACCAGTGCACCTTTAAGCCAATATGAGATTTCCTGACGATGTATAATAGTGGTGATTGTCTAATGACAAGATAAATTTCTCTGAGTTGTATTTTGAAAATCATCTTTAGTGTAGACCTTTGTTTTTATAGCTAACATTTGTTCTTAGACATCTTTGTATATATTTTATCTGATTAAAGAATAATGTAGTATATCCAGCAACTATTTACTGTACTTGTCTATATCTTGTCTTGATTGTCTCATCCCAACCTACGGTAACTTACTCTTTTGGTACCTTTTTTAGGTTATGAGCGGCCAGCCCCGTACCAAACAGATCGTCAAAAAATTCCTGTGGTCACAGTGGGATGCCTATACTCAGAGGCTTTACTTTCTCCAAAGAAGAAAAAAGAAAACTGAACAGGGAGATGACGTCCTTTTGACTTGCTATGAATTCAAGGAACATTTCCTTTTTGAAACTGTGGTAAGCTATTGCGCCCTCAGTCTGCTGCTCAAAGTATAGTTTTGTTTTCCACTTTTTACATTTCTTGTTAATAAACTGAATAAAGGAGAAAAAGAAAGTGTTTTGGTTGTTGTTATTTAATAAATCTTGTTTGAATGTTTGTACTAATTTACTATTGTAAAGTATGACAACATTGTGTTTACCTATTTTTTTTCAGCTAAATCTTCCGTTGTGCCTTCCTTTGCCATCTGAGGTCTCAGTGTAAGTTTTACAACAATTCATGTGCGTGACTCCTCAACTTGTTTTTTTCATCATATTGTTAATTGTCCCATGATAGCTAAGCTGGGTTAGATGTTCAACTTGAGAGAGGTGTTAGTTTTAGGGTTCATTAATCTTCAGCTGTTATCAAATATTTAAATAAATTGTTGTCAGTAGTCTACTGCTCATGGCAAATTTTAGATATTTACTACGTTCACGTTACGGGATCTCGGCACGTGCCGAAATTTGTAATTCGTTGTGTTTGCAGAGGGATTACAGCCATTGTGTTCACTTTATTCAGGACCCACTTAGGACCAACTGGGCTCGTGCCGAAGTCACGCTCTCATTCGTTGAACTGTTGGCCCAAACATGGAAAACAATACGCATATGATGATAATAATAATTGTTATAGTGAAATTATATCCATTTGTTGCAATGGTGTTTATTACGAGCCATCGTGCACATGAACGACAGAGAAGATTCGAAACACAATTATTTTTTTCATGTCAATGTAAAATGTGCAAGAAAATAGAGGTTGCAGCAGCACATAAATATGCGTCGCTGACGACGGTTTGCATTCATTTCATTCATTACTACAGCATCCGACCATCTACTAGTATATCTGAATTTCCTGTCATCGTCATTTCATGCTAGTATCAATCAACTTATGTTTTTCTTAAATTTACCACCGAGGGCGTGATTTTGGCTCATGCCGAGCGTTCAGGTAGCAAATCTTGGCACGTGCTGAGTTTCGGTCCCAAGCATCTATCGGGACCGAGATCGAGTTCTTTTCGGCACGTGCTGACTCGGCCCCGAGTCTCGGCACATGCCGAGATCTCGAACGTGATCGCCACTATTCTTGTTGTACTTTATTATTACTATGGCAACCATACATGGATATTTATTTAATTATTTTTCTTGTGTTTTTTATAGGATTGATTATTTCATGAATTTTCTTGGACCCCATGTGTGTGGTAAGCATGATATATCATGACATTTCTTTTGTAACTTATTATTTTCATATATAGGAATATATGAATAATTCATTTGTGCTTTCATTTTTCAGATGGTAGCATAAATCTAGAAGTAGTCTCTCATGTGGGAGGTATGTATCACAGAAGATCAAGATAAGGATGTAGTTGTGTGTTGAGTTTAATTGGTTACATTCAATCTTCACATCACACCACTCTTTTATGTCAAGTCATTGGGCCATTGACCACTCGCTCATATCAAGTCATTGGGCCATTGACCACCCTCTCATTTGAGTTAATGTCCTATTTATTACTCCTAGGTACATTGTGTATATGTTACCAGCACCCATTATACTACAACAAAACTAGGAGTAAAAAACCAACATTACGCCTGAAGGATGAACATGATGAAAAATGGACAGATTTGTCAGATGAAACCATAGCAACAATAGATGTCAATTATTCAGTTCTGATGGTGCATGATGGGAGTAATTTAAACTGTTGTATACCCAATGTTCCAATAGATATTGCTGAAAGGATGAAATTAAAATTCATTCCTCTAAGTAAGTATTACGGGATGTTTTGACATTATTTGCTGCTTTCCTATGTAACATATTCTGCCGAATGTGTGGCAGGCATGTATTTTAGATCCATGGTTTGAATATGTTCTACGCGACTCTTACAGCAAAACATTTATTCTCTACAGATATACAATCTGTCAGTTGATAAACCAAGACAGCATATGTTAACCAAAACTGTTGCCAGTGGAGCAATAGCAAGCTTAGAGATGTGCAGTCAAGTACATATTATATCCTTGTTCACTGCGACCGGGACACCGATTGCTAGTTTCACTCGCCCGCTCTATCTAGAAATGGATTTTTGCAGCCTCAAAAATTAGAATTGCTCATTTCATTACTCAAGCGACATGTTTCGTTCATTCCCCTATTCTGCCAAATTTTGTTTTTAATGTATGCATTGGCAAATTCTGTTCTTGGTGTAGTCATACTTGGTTTTTGACAGTTTAGACTAACTTTTTGATATTATTATATTGATTCTTGTGAGAAATGTGTACAAATATTATTTTCATTAAGCATCAGGACTGCTTTAATGTCTGATTTCTATTTATAAGTACATGCAAAAAAATGACATTGGCAATTTGTTACTCCCAGAGGACTATATTCTAGTATATGCACCAGGCTACGTTTCCCATCTACTAAATATAACATCGGAGTTAGAACCGTGTCATCATATCGCCATGGTAACAACTGATAGCAACCATCCTTGGATCGGTGATGAAGAGACGTCCAAAAGACTTGTAGCTTTTCTTTATGAGAAAACCTCATGTAAGCACGGTGAGAAATCACACTGTTGCACTTTATATCATTCCACTCACTCACAATCAATTGAATTCAAAATGTTTTTATTTTCCATGTTTTGTATGTATTCCCTGGTACCAGACATGACACATGGTGATTTGTTTCTTATAATTTTCATGCCATTGTGAATGATTTCTTTATAATTGAAATTCATCTGCACAATTAGCTTATTAGTGTACACTTCCCATGCTTTATTTGTGTAATATATAATTTCATAACAATATTATTTTTCCCTAGGTGACTGCATTCTCGATTCAGTTTCTGGAAAAGCTTATAAAATAACTCTGAACAAAGATGCTGTGATAGAACTGTTTATCAACACATCACAGCTATCGGTTCGGCTCTCGTTACTACATATGGTACTTGTACATATGAAGGATGGAGATCTAAGTAGAAAGGTAACATAACGAAAAATAACAGTGATTTAGTTCCTGTTATATTTTGTTGAAATTGAGCCACTGCAGCATATAGCATCTGAGCTACTGCTGCATAACATGTGCGCCACTGCTGCATAACATGTGCGCCACTGCCTATATTTTTCAGCTTCTGGTGCAGATATGCCAGGACATTGCATCATTGGAATCAACAAGTCTCCTCTCTGAGTATCTTGTAGCAACTACGTACAATGCCATGAAAAAACAAGTAGACAAAGATGTGTTGAAATTGCTGCCATTTACGTGTGTTGATACATTCAGAGGTCAACTTGAAAAGGTAAAAAGTAACTCAGTTTTCAGAGGTCAGAGCAGTTCAGGTCTATAATTGATTTAAAAAAATGGTATGACAAAGAGATGCATTGTTTTTATAAGGCATGTGTAGTAGCTTGACAATTTACAGAATCAAATTAATGTCAACTTCCTGTAGGATAATTCTGGTCAACAAATTGCACGGTTTACTTACACGCCAAAGAAAAAACTACTGGAAACCATTATATGCAAGGTGAGTGTAATTAATTTTGTTTAACAGACTTAGAGCTCATGGTGTCGATGTTTACATCCTCACAGGGTTTTT